TTCGTTAGTAATACTTAGGAACCAAAACATCTATATAAACACTCAAATTCTCGTCAAATCCCAATTTCATTCTTCATTCTTCACAATAAAATAATAATAATAATAATAAAATAAAAAATATATAAAAAAAAAATATATAAAATGAAATTTAATCTTTATATTTTGTTTTTAATTTCCTTGTTCATCGCCTTGGTCTTTGCTGAAGCTGATAGGCCAGAGGAAGATGATTTAGAAGAAGGTAAGTTACTACTTAACCCAATCAAAAAAATCCAATCAATCAATAAAAAACAATTCTAATAATTTATTTTTTTACTTCACAAAATAAAAAATTAATTAGATCTCGCCAAACGTTCCGCTGATCCATACTACTACAAGAAGAAATACCACCACTACTACAAACGTGATGCATACTACAAGAAGAAGCACGATTACTACAAACGTAGTGAAGATGAAGATGAAGAAGATTTAGCCAAGCGTTCCGCCGAACCATACTACAAGAAGAAGCACGATTACTACAAACGTGATGCCGATGCTGAAGCATACTACAAGAAGAAACACGATTACTACAAACGTGATGCCGATGCTGAAGCATACTACAAGAAGAAACACGATTACTACAAACGTGATGCCGATGCTGAAGCATACTACAAGAAGAAACACGATTACTACAAACGTGATGCCGATGCTGAAGCATACTACAAGAAGAAACACGATTACTACAAACGTGATGCCGATGCTGAAGCATACTACAAGAAGAAGAACTATTACTATTAAAATAAATTGATACTTGGTACAAAAAATGCCTATATTATTAAAAAAATTATTATATAAATTGATTTTAAATATCAACTTCTTCAACTTGCTTTTCTTTTCTTTTTTTGTATAATTCTATATTTTACCTTTTTTTTCTTATTTGTATATATAAATTTTTGTATATTATATATATTAAATCCCCTTTTTTTAAAATGTAACTTTTTTTTTTCTTTTTTTTGTTCTAAAAATACATAAAAATAAAAGCCTGTTGAAAAGTTTTATTTGAATTTAAAAAATGCTTTATTTAGTGTTATTTTTTACCAAACAATTTGTTCTCGCCCAAATGGTTAACTTCAACCAAAAGTTACAATTACCTAAAATTTGTATTTACGCTTTATTATTATAAATTAATAATTTCATTTAAAAAAGTACTGTACTTATTAGAATTGTTTTTTATATTATTTATTTTTAAGCTTCATAATTGAAGATCAATACATACACTCACTAGACAAAAGTCGGGCGCATTTTTAAACAAAAATTGCGCAAAAACGCACACAATAAAAACACAAATAACTTATATCATTTTGTAGCCTAGGTTCTCAAAATTTTGCATGCAAAATTTAAAACTTTTATTATGCCTAAAAAAATAACAGTTAAAAAAATAAAAAATCCGACCAAAAAATTTTTCCGAAAATTTTTCTGACAAAAAAAATTTAATTG